ATATCTACTTGTAAAACAAAATTAACTAGTTAAAATGAAATTGTACATAAATTAAGAAACAAAACTATTTTATTATTTTATATATTGGTACATTATACTAAGCTTAACCTAGAACTGTTAACGCACCCGTCGAAATGGTGGGTTTCAGTTTCCTTATTTCAAAATTATTGATATCTTATAAGTGTTAAGTATCCAAAACAATTTAAAAAATAAATACTTTCACTTGAATACTACGATGAGCATCTGAAGAAGACAGAAGATTTCGGACAGAATTTAACAAATGCGAATATTACTTAATTCATTTCAGTTTTTCTTTTTTTTTCAATACATTATTAATAAAAAAGTAGTTGTATCGATCACAGTTGATCGATATCATAGGGCAATCATAGGGCAAGGGACTAATCATATTAAACGCTCAGTAGTTGTAGTGTTAACTTAGCCAACCGAATAGGTAGATTTCCTCTTTTCCATTAGCAACGCATTGTCTTTTATTTTATTTATATTCCTTTATTATTTAATGAGTCTTGAACCGAAGTTATTTGCAACTTATCAAATATTTTTCTTTCTTTTAGAAAACGTACTATTTAATCAAATCCGTTAAATGAATGAAATTGAAGTTAACGAGAAAGATTGTAGTTATATCGTTTTTAGGCAGTTGTGTAAGTGTTAATCCCTTGCTCTATGATTTATTTCTTAACTATGGTCCTTAGAATTACTTTATCGTTAATAATTTATTAGACAAAATCTTGATGCTTATTTCATGCCTATGTTTACTTTAAAGGTTAACGACTGATAACAGAGAATTATCACTTACTTTATATTTTAAGAAATTGCACAACGCTTAGTTTCGTCAAATTCAGTTTAAAATTTTCGTCACGAGTCTCACACGATATTGTAGGTGAAGGTGTTAACATAAAACATAAAACTTCATAATTTCTCTATACCAAATCAAGCGGCGACTGAGAGTCGCTTCTCAAATGCAAAGGGTTAATTCAGCCCAAATGTTGCTGACTCCTTCTCCTTCCTGTTTTTTCCTGTTGTAACGTCCAGCAGGAATTTCGCTAGCTCGTCGCCGCCCGGTAAAACTCCTCTTCTTTTAGCCAGCCGGTCGTTTTATTGCAACCTTTCGATCGAG